ATGTGTTATACCAACTTTCATGTCATTTCTTAAATGTTTAAATGTAGTAAATTGTGTTGAGTGAATCAATTCCAACTGAATCTCATTTTTTCCTGCTTCATCGTCTCACACATCAGACCTTGTTGCTGCCATTCAGGAAAAAACACTCAAAACTTAGAAGTAGGCATAATTTATTTGATGTCAGAAGGAAAGACTGAAATAGAATCTCAGAATTATATAAAATGTGTCAACATTATGAATAGGGTATTCTGATTTAGAGGCATTCAGTCATAATCTCACAGATTGTAGCTTTGCACCACTGGCTACTTGTCCAAGCACATGTACCATAACCAGTGATGACATTCGAAATATTTAACAAAGGGTTCGCTAACAGAAAACTTTTCCTTAACAATTTTTTTTTTCGCTCAAATAGTGCATCGGAAGGCTCTAGTTTAGTAGTGTTACAGAGTATAATACGTATATTTTAATATTTTTAAAAGAATCAAACCATTGAGAAATGTTACATATGTTTAACAAGGTTCGGAAAACTTTGAAAATGTTAACAACGGGTTCGGCCGAACCTGTGCGAACCTGCTGAATATCACCACTGACCATAACTATCCTTATGATAGTAATCCAGCTCAGTACAAGAGGAACTACAGGTTTGGACACTTGGTACAGTACATGTGCTTGGGTGAATATTTTCAAAACAATAAAATTCAATAAAAATTAACATTTTTGAAGGTTTTTTTAATGGAGCAATTATTTAAATTAAATAACAGTTCTCACTATAATAAATGTGATAAATGTTTTTGGGAAACAAATTTCTAGGGATTTTCTAGGTATTTTCAAAAATGTTTATCACATTACAGGTTTTTCTGGCTCTCAAGATACTATATATACACATTATATATTTTTACTTAACATTATAACATATACATATGAGCTATACTCTTCTGAGGATAAATTGAGATTCATTATTACAATAATGAAAATACTAAAACTGGAGAGAGAACATCAGGATGGCAAACTTGCACCTTAAATTACTTTAGCAATTATTTTGTTTTATTAATATCTTAAAGACGAATAGAATATATGTAATTCAAAATTAAATTTACTGTTGTCTCCCCATTTGGTTCATGGATACCCCTCTTGCTAAAATAGTAAGAGAACTTTATAAACTTTATAGATAAACACCAAAAAATAAGCTTAGTAACCTACTGTAAATCAGTAACCCAAATGTGCTAGAGTAAGACTTCCAGATCTTTTCAAAAGAATTAAATTTTTTGATCAAATTCTCTTTTTAAAATATTTTAGCAGTCTAATTCTATAACTTTGGCTAAATTTAAGAATCCCTGGAAGAAATACCCATAACACTGTGTATACATACCCCTCATTTCTATTTGTCATTGTCACATAGATAGTTGATAACATGGGCCCAATGGAATGTTTACTCCATGAAAAATTTGCTCATTATAAGTGAGTGTGCCAACATAATACAGATAATATACAATCATTAAAAAAATATAATCAGCAGTATGCTTAATAAAAAATGTAATTGTAAAAAGCAAAAAAGTGGGGATAAAAGATAAAATAGTAAAAAAAATTAAAAAGAAAAATAATAATTATGATTATAGTGGTATAATAATATGGATTCTTTTTTAAACTTTTAAACTTAGATATATATATATATCTAAGATATATATAATCTTAGATATATATATATATTATATATATATATACAGTGGTGATATTCAGCGGGTTCGCACAGGTTCGGCCGAACCCGTTGTTAACATTTTCAAAGTTTTCCGAACCCATTGTTAAACACACGTAATATTTCTCAGTGGTTTTGTTTCTTTTAAAAAATATATTAAAATATANTATGACTTTTTCTCAAGAAAAAACTTTTTAAATCGTTTATTTTATCATTAGGTATTATTATAATAAGAGACAGATGTCATTGTTTCTCGAAATACAATATCTTTTTTATTTCGCTATCGATAGCCGGACACGTGTTCCGCAGCCATCTTGTATTTTCTCGCGCGCGTGGGATTGTGGGATCCCTCGCAGTGCCGGCCCGAGGCAAGTTTTAGGATGGAGCGAGATCCTATTATGGCGCCCCCTTAGTTGCCCCTAATTTATACCCTTTAATTTTCTTTACTACTGAGGTGCCCCCCTAGGACTTAATGTCTGGAGTGGCTGCTCCTTTGCCCTATGGTAGGGCCGGCTCTGAATATATACAGTATATACTGTATTAACTCTATTTATCTTATTATCTTTTATCCCTACTTTTTTGCTTTTTACAATTACACTTTTTATTAAGCATATTGCTGATTATATGTTTTTTAATGAATGTATATTATCTGTGTTTTTTTATATTTCTCTGCTCTATATATATATTTTTTTTTTTGTGTCATGTTATTGCTTTGTATGTTTTTTTTTAAACTTTTTCAACTGNATAAAGATTTAGCTGGTGTTTTATAAAAATAGAAATAATAATAATGGAAGTTATTCAAATAAATTCTTCAGTAGTTGTATTTGTTATAAATATAAATATGACATGCAAAGAAAACATTTACTGCTTAGCAGATCAAAATGTAATGTTACCATATTTATTCAATTTGAAGGTGCCATTAATTCTAAAACATGTAATTTTGAAATAAAATTTTAAAGGTTCTTTTTTATGAAGGAAAAAAATTTATATACAGTCGACCTCCCCTATAACGCGGGTTCATATAATGTGGATTCGTATATCGCGGCAAAAAAATTGCGACCATATTCATATAAAGATGCTAAAAGAGACTCGTAAAATGCAGTAAAACGTCATTGCTGACTCATGTCGTGACAGGATTGGTTGAATCTGGACCAATAGTGGACGAGCACCAAACTACTTACACGCTATGGAGAGTTTAGGCGGGTAAGTTGAGTTTACTATTGTCTGTACAGTATATAAATTAGGTACTGTAAGTCTAATACAGTACTGTAATTTTATACATTTCCTGTGAAAAAAACATTTCTTATTCAACGGCCATAAAAATTATTTCTATTAATGATCTCGAAAGTTCAGCGAATTTTTCGCAGAAAAATAACTTATCAGAAAACGTGCCCACCGTTTGATGCGCTGCTCCGCAACGAAAACAAGCTTAAGCAATGGTTGTCGTTGAACGGTGCACACTCGGTAAGTAATCCTACAATTTTTTGTTTATAGCATAGTTTATATGGATTATTCCCAAAAAATTATACGTGTTTTGGAAATGTTGAGTCAAATTAGTCTAGAATCGATGAAAGGTTTTCTTCCATAAAAATTAAAACAGCTGTAGTTTGTAAACTGCACACGTGCCGGGTTGTGATTGACTCGTGTATTTAAGGATTCTTACAACGTGAAATTCTTATAAAGTGGAACGTATCTACCATGTTATGGGGGGGTCGACTGTATTCAGTTTTATCAAGTTTTGTTGACAAACATCTTAATAAAAATTAATACATATAATAATAAAATTAACAGAAAAACAATATAAATGCCGAAACAGATAATGCTTAGCTGCTGTTTTCTGTTCTTTTGCATATACAATAACTATACATTTCAATTCTGCATCATAATGTCGTCATGAAGGCATTTTAAACATTAAAAGGGGATTTAAATTAAGCATTTATTACCAGTAAAACACATTTGAATTGATGTCTGTTGAGTATCATAACCAAAACTTCTATTAATGACACTTAATGCACCACGAGTCCACTCATAATGATTACTAATTTTTGTTTTGAACTGCAAATGTAAGAGACCATCTGTATTTTGCAATATAAGATTCATTTCTGGTTTGGACAAGTAAAAATTGATTTTAAAAAAAACTGTTGTAGAATTGAGGAAATAATGATAAAAATTTAAATACTAAGAAAGTATATTTAGTGTGTTTTATTATTCAAAAATATTTTTATACTTTATTATTTACTGTATAATGTAACTATATCCTTAATAATTTATATAATTGAAGCAGCTATGTTTTATCAAGTAAATAGATTATAAACTTTGCTCTGTGATAAAGCTATTTCTAATTTAATCAAACTATTCAAATTTTTTAGAAATCAATATTTATTCTTTGACTATTAAGAAATATATCTAGTACTTTAAGGTTATTAGATGATATAAAAATTTAAATTGAAGAAATTTGAAGTGATAAAAAACATCTATTAAATAATAATTTAATATTCTTTTTTTATCTTTTTAAGTTTCTTATTAAGTATTTAAGTTTGTAATGGACCTTCATTATTAGGGAAAAAAAATTTAACAATTTGACCACTTTCAGAATATCTTTACATATTGTGACTTAACTTTAAATTTAATTTTCAACTTTAAAAATTGTATTGGAATTTATTTACATATTATTGTTTATAATAAAAATACTTCATTGATTATTTATGAAAATTTAAATGTTTAAATACATGTTTAAAAATATTAATATAAAATTACATAAACTTAAAAGTTGTAGTTTTGGTATTTTATCTCAAAAAAAATTGAAAAATAATTTTAGATAGGTAAATGAAAAAATGTTGGCTTTTTAAAATACAGACTGCAGTAATTAAATTATTCGTTATCATGACAATAACTTACAAAGGTTATGATGGTAAAAGACACTCCATACCAACACTCAAATGAATAATTAATTATTCATTTACAAAGGTTACAGTTAATAGTCTGTTAAGTTAAATTTTAGCATAATCAATATTAAAAGTAGTTACCACATTGTTAAATATTTCTAACTTTAATGAAATATTTATCAATTTTTACAATAAAATTCTTTATTTAATATATACTTTAAAATATTATTAAAATTTTCTAATTTATTTACTCTCTTTTCCCTTCAAAAGGAAGAACTCAGTAAAAACTTGGAAAGGTTTATTATATTCAGAAATTGATTTGGCAAAAGTTACAATTGATGATGATAATATTACTTTAATAAATTTCCTAATAATTCTTAAGAATTATTACATTTATTTATTCTAAACTTTTTCTATTTCAGCACTCCATAGGAACACCTAAATATTAATATTAGATTGAATTTCTTCTATAATCAAAAAATAAAAAGTAGTTAAACATGGCATTTGCAGGATTAAGGAAACAAATTAATAAAGCTAATCAGGTAAAAACTCTATTTGTCAATTTTTATGTATTAATTATAAAAACAATACAGCTCTTAAATTAATGATGATGGATTTAATTAAAATTGTGTTTTAGGTATAATTATTTCAAATTTTAATATGCTCTTCATATGTGACTTTTATTACAATTTGTTAAAGTGATAATTATGAATGATTATCATAATGAAGTGTTAATCAAAATTTTATTTTTATTTTCTTGTATTTTATCATTGGTCAGCAATATACGGACATACTTTTGATCCAGTTTATTGTATTGTAAGAACTGGAAACTTTGCTAAATAGAGAGACTGCGAGTCTTGTACAATGAACACGGCATGTTGTGTGTATCATTTGTTGTTCATTTATTATTTGCTCTGCTAAAGATTTACTTTAACACAATTTTATTTGATTTTTTTGGTTACATGTTTTAAAATATTTACATAAACATCTCTCAAAACCCGATTCATTAGTATAAAGCCATACCAATCTTATGTGTGGCTTTATTTTAAGATATTTTTATAAAATAAAAATGATATTAATATTCTATATTATAAATATTTATTGTGTAAAACAAAATATTTTTTCGAATTATGATATATCAGGTCAGTCCATAAGTTCATGCGCATTTTTATCTACAAAAAAAGCAACAAAAAATTTTAATTAAATTTTATTTCAATCTATAATGTATTCACCATTATTTTGTACAATTTCTTGCCATCTTGATGGTAGCTTTTTAATCCCGTCTTTGTAAAATGATTTTGGTTTTGAATCAAAATATTCAGAAATAGCCTTTTTTACATTGTTCTCATCCTCAAAAGTTTTTCCTTTTAAAAAATTCTGCAAACTCCGAAAAAGATGATAATCACTGGGAGCAATATCTGGCAAATATGGTGGATGAGGTAAAATTTCCCAGTTGAAGCTTTGGAGTTGAGCAGTTGACGTTGTTGTCAGTTAGCTATTGACAGTTCATGTGGTATCCATTTTCCTAGCTTTGAAACTTTTCCGATTTGT